TTTTTTTATTATTATTTTATAGATCCCTTCCCCGTCTCTCGCCTCGCCGTCACCGTCATCGTTTCGATGTTCCACGCTCTCTACCGACGAACGTATTTGCGAGAACGTATGTGTCGCGCGTAATGTACCGTGGACGGAGTACGTGTAGGTAAGAGAACGCCGGACGAGAGGGGGAGTAGGTTGGTGAGCGCGAAACGAGCGCGAACCTAGCTCGGTGATCGTCATTAAGAGAGATGCTAATTGGAGGTAAAGCATGGCCGAGTCGACTGCTCGCCTCACTATATTTGCTCTCAAATTTAGAGCAATATTTTTTCCGTTTATATCGAGTTTGCGTGTCTATCGTTGGATGATCGCTCTTTTCTCGGTACTCGGAGCTAGGCGTCGAGTACGTTTTAAAACCAATTCACCGATATATGCATTTTCTACTTGGAACTCTACTTGCTTTTCGAATCGTTTATCCGATTAATCCGGCAAGATAACGATAACCGAGCGTTAACGTAATATAGCGTAAGTAAATTTTATCGTAAATTTCCCTTCTTCGCTGTTTCGTATTTTTATTTATTCTTTTGGTGGAAATCGCGCACGGTTAGTCTGTACGAGTTTATCCGATAGCTTAGAAAGCCAACTACCGAAACCGACCCAACTCCGTTTCCTTACCGATGTTGTTGTCGACACCGTAACTTAGGTAGATCGAGGACAGCCGTGTCGCGTGGCTCTGTTCACGATTTCCCGAAGAAACTACAACTAACCCTATTCTCCTTGTAATCGAGACAACTCATCCGCGAGTAATTTTATTCGAATACATTGTTCCATGGGCCAAGGATCAAAATGTCCCTGCACATCCAACCGAGCGTCTGCCAGCGACGATATTCCTTCTGTCGGGTGTCCGTCTCGTGGACAGAAGCAGCCGACGGTTGTTTGTTTGTTTGTTTGTATATACTGCTAACAGCCGGGGTGCGGCTGGTTGGTTGCATTGGTACAGTGAAAAGGAACAGAGGGAGGTAGATGGGTATATCGTGTTCTATTCTATGGGCACACGGTTCGTACACGATGCCGTGCGTGCGGTTGAAGGGAAGCACCGCGTTACCAGCCTGAAATTCGAATGTCAGCCAAGAAAGAAATGTCACAATATTCCGCGTGTCTGCGACCGAGGCCTGCTCGCTTTCCATGTCCATCTTCTTTTTCCCTCTCTCTAATCGAGTCCTCTCGCTCCATCGCTCGATGCTCCCTGTTTTTCGAGAACGAGGGACACCGCTATTCATTTTCATAGGAAGTGTTTACGCGATGGATAGCAGACAGAAGGAACGACCGCGGATACAAATAACCGTGTAACATACGGACAAAAATAACGTCGAATAAAGAACGATCGCGGCCAATAACTAATTTCGCGTATTAGAGAACATACTGGGACGTAATAGGGGGATGGGAAAAGACTCTCGAAAAATGTTTGATAAGATCTTATATGGATCTACGTTATTCGCGGGTAAAAGTTCGATTACCATGTTCGTAAATTAACTTGATCATAATCAGGTTCCAAGCAACGCTTTGGAAATCGAAAGATCGATATCGCAGCAAAGAATCGCGAATTATATTATCGAGCTTTAACGCGAATAACTAACTCGTTTCTTTAAACGGCGAGTAATATTAGAATTCTATGGGGCGATAAATTTAGACGTTCGCTCGACGACCTCCCAATTTGCCAGCCTCTTCTCCGAGTTGACGCGTGAATCGACGTATCCTGTCTCGTTGACCAAGAAATCCTTTCGGCATCTGCGCGAGCTAGGCCTAGTCGTTGTTCGTCTGCGCCTTTTCTGAAAAAAGCGTGTCCTGCCGGGACACGAGGTTGCCTCCGCGTCGTGCCACACCGAGCCACGCTGAACCGTAATCCGACGTCCGAATGTTTGACAGAATAATTTTCACGTTAGCAGGCTGCATTATGCTCCTTTATGCTCGCGCCTAGCCCTACGTATTGTCGCCGAAATAAGCCGTATCCCACACCGTACGGCCCCCTCGGCTTTTATGCGCTTTTGCGCGTATACCGTGACCTCACAAAAACCGAGGAACCCCGTCGTATATAGCTGCCACTCGACCAGCAATGGAGAAAGAGCAAGAAAGAATACAAGATTAGAGGAGCCTAGCCGAATCACCTCCGGTAGCATCGTGTTCTTGCTTTACCTTTTTCTCGCGCTTCGACCTATTATTACCTACCAATTATCGAACGTAGCTTTATGGCTATACTCGGTATCACGAGACAACGAGCGATAAAGTTGATCGAACGAAGATGGTAAAACTAGTTAACCCCGCAGGAATCCAGCAAGGATCGGGCTCCCCGTCACTCGACACCGAATCGGACAGAATCTGTCAAAAATCTGTCACCCGGCCACAATGGCTCGACTCTCTCCCTCTAGATTTTACCTACACGGTGAAATCAGACCGGTGCGGCGCGACACGGCACGACGACGAGCAAAGCAAAGCCAAGGAATGTAAGTAGGAGGACCCTTGCCACCTATATTTGACACCTTTCAGTCCAATAAAATAAAATGGTTCGCTGGAATGTGGTCTCCGGTTCGAGGCAGAAGTGCCGTTTCCACGCCAGACGCGTAATGTCCTTCTCTCACCGGCAATCCTCTCCGTTCGACCGACTTCCCTCCAAAGCCGAGGATAATATCTCGAATCTTTGATAAGGGTTAGCCCTAACCTCCTCGTTCCACATTTTCTTCCTCGAATTCGAACGCGTGTCCCTTCGTTTCTCTCGTTTCTGTCGTTTCTCTCGTTTCTGTCGTTCACCATCGTGCAACGACAAAAAAAAAGATTCATCCTTTCGAGCGCGTATCTACCTCGTAAACGTTCGTGTTATCGAAACAAAGTTAACGATAACCCGTGATACGTTTAGAAAGCTGTCGCGTTACGAGTTGGTCAACCGTGACCCGTAGTACCCGGTTCAAGCATTGTCCTTTCTATGTATCGCACCGATATACCACATCTCGCCTATTGATTCTTCACGGAACTCGCAATAGTTTCTCCTACTCTATTATTCTCCTATTGTTATTATTCCGACGATAAATCGTACACTATGTTCTTCGACTACGGTTAGATTCAGCCTTAACGAGACCGATTCGAAGAGACTGCGAATTCGGATGAGAATAGAACGCTTCGATTCGAAGCGATTCCAACTTCTTAATTCGCTTAAAAGAAACGTTACGGTCGCTACAAGTCTCGAGGGGTACAAAATTTACGCGTTCGATAGACCCTCGACAGAACCTCGTATTCGATTTGGAAATTCCGATTTCCATTTGATAGCATCCACGGCTATTGTTTCGGTTTTTATAAACCGAGAACACGAATAATATCGATGAATTTATTTAATTTTTACAAAACGCGGGAGTTTGCTCGCTCGCCAACGCTGACGATAGTATCGTACGCGGATTTATTTACCGTTTCGAATATCCGAATTGAAGCAATTTCCCTGAAGGGAACAAAGCTGAAACGCGTACCTACGAACATTTACCAAGCGGGTGATACTACTTTTACGATCGACCTGTGTCGCGGATTTTTCGAGGCGAACAGGACGAGTGACTCGACGGAAATACTCGACCCTTTGCATTTACGTTCGTCCTAATCCGATAGGCATCGTTCCTTCCAGATGTTTAGAAGAGCTGTTTGTATCGAGATGCGTGGGACTGATATATAATCTAGTCAATTTGACACCCTCATCGAGGGACTAATGGGTGCTTTCAACTCGGGAACGAACCAGTTATACGCGGAGCTTTCCTTCGACGAACGAGGATACTTTCTTGGTCCTGGTTGAGTCGACCAGATGCTTATCGGCTATTTGTTCGTTAACGGACCGTGGTGTTATTGGTAACGTCGTTTAATCGTTAACAGTACTAACTCGTCTCGTCGACTGGTTGAATCTTTTTAACAGAGTTATGAACACAATATCTGAAAATTGAACGAGCCACGTTTCTTCTCATGAATTCAGCTTTTCCTTTTCTTGGTTCGTTATCAGCGCCGTTGGGACCGAATGTAACGGTACTTCGGTGTATTTCTTCGGTGGCAGGAATCTGAAACGTTACGTACGCGTGTAATTTCACCGATTTCCGAACAATTTAACCCTTTCCGGTCAGAGGTATAATCTACTTCTCGAGAAAATCTTGTCACCGTATCGTCCGAATTTTATCTATTACCTCAATTTTATCGATCGTGTCACAGATTTTTTTTCTTCCTGGTCACTCGACCAAAAAGGGTTCATTTAGATATCGATACTTTTGCTACGTACCTCTGAATGATGGGCGGAAAATGATTTTTGTCGACATCCTTCAAGTCTGGAACACCAGTTAGGAAACTAACTATCGTTCCGACTACCATCACTACCAGAAAACCCAACAGGGTGTAATACATGAACGATACGGCAAACAGAGCGAAAGGTTTATCCTCGTTAGTCGGCGTAGGATCCGTACCGATCGTTGTTTGATTAACGTTACTTTTTACGTTTAAACATTCTTCGGTCGAGGTAGGAAGAGGCGGATACACCAATCGTTTGAGAGCCATGTTCACTTGAGCGCCAACGATCACCCAAACCATCAACCCCATGGATAGCAATCCACCGGCTATAGCTCCTTTCGACGTAGCCCATGGCACGATCATCCCCAATGTAAAAATACCTAACATTGCTCCGGCCGTAACACCGTGAAGCGTCAGGGAAAGTTGGAATATATCGCCCAAAAATGCTACCAGGAAAACTAAAGATAGGCAAAGTATGCCCATGACCACCACGATCAACTGAAAATCATTAAATCCTTCAGTTTGATTTTTATACGGAATATCTGTTCGCGTTGGGTTTCAATCGATACAAGGTATTTATGGCTTCGTACGAACCTATGGTAAAATAAGTTTCGCTAAAGAAACGCGATTAAAATCGAATGAAATCGTTGAAACTGGCTACGAACTATGGACAACTGTAGCTGGCAATTTATAATTTCTGCCAATTACTTTCGTACCTTCATGATATTCGCTGCTCTCGCCTCTTTGTTCTCGGTATCCGGTAACCAAGGATCGATGAAATCTTCGTACATTGTACCAGCGACTGTGTTTAAAATAGCGCTCATCGTCGAGAGACCAGCGCTAACCAGACCGGCTAGAAAAAGGCCAGGAAGTCCTGGAATATGTTTGGCAACGTCCAACACGTAATACGGAAGTAGTTGATCGCTTCTCGAAATTACCTACAGGTCAATTAATCCATTAAGATTCGATCGGAACGCGAATTTCAACCATTCGCGGTCCACTTATAGTTACTTTATGTACGATTAAACTTCAATTGAAAAAAAAAAAACAAAACAAATTCAGTAGGAAATCTTGACAACTAAATTAACGAATAATTCGAGTCTTCTGTAACTTTCCCATCGTTCCTAAGCCATTTTCCCTCATCGTTCGTTGAAAGTTTCAACGAGAAGAAAAATTTCTAAGACAATTTCGTTTATCGAAAGCGATTCGCCGTGATATTCAAATAATTTGATGGATAAACAGACCGCGAAGGGTTAATCTCGTAAAGAAAGAGAAAAAGGAGAGGACGTACGTGCGTGCTTATTGGGTCGCATTTATGATACCTGGCGTACATTATAAGTCCAGTCAGCACCGATATCCACTTAATGGCTACTAAGCATACTCCCATAAACGCTATTGCCCTGAAACAACGGACGAAATAGACTGGTTATCGATTATCGTTGATTCTGAACGTTGATAACCATTTACGCTCACTTGTATGCTTCTTTAAGATTCGGTACGGACAGAAATCGTTGCATGGACACTTGGCTGATACCGAGACCGGTCATCCACGTCATCGTCATTCCGACCGCCATACCCCAGAAAGAATTTCTGGCAAAAATGCTAGGATCCATGCTAAAACGAACGAAAAAGCAGATATTCCCAATATGTTATTTCTTTCCATATTCTTGTACTTTCTTTTTTATTTTGCTCCGTAACAATGGCAGTATCGTAAGTTACTGCCATGCTAATTGAAAATAATCTGAACCATAGAAAGTCGATAAGCTTTCGTACTTCCAAAAGACAATTCTGCTACCCTCTTCTGCTATCCTCCAAGTTTCGGAGAAGCCGCCCACAGCGATAGTACCGAGAATGAACACGGCAAACAGACTTCCCAGTGTCACGGTCATTTGAACTGTATCCGCCCACACGACAGCTTTTAGACCTCCCTAAATATGTTTAAACAAAGACTTCGTTTTAACTTCGATCTATAAATAACATTTAGAATTGAACTGTTTCGCAATGCTACCGAGACGGCAAATATTGACATTATTTATTCGATCAGAAACGTAGCCGTATCTGATACGGTACACGATAAGACGGATTAATAAAGAAACTAGGGATTAGTTAGTTAAAATTGTTAGTATAATAACCATCCACGATATTCGGTCACTTCGTTTATCCTATTCTCGTTGTATCGCTAAATGAAATTCCTAAAGATGAAATCATTCATCGAGAATGCACGTATTCGAAAGGTTGAATGTTAAGTTAAATCAATCTAATCATTAGTTACGTCCGTAACTAGCAACTTTACATCCTGCCGCGATCGATACAGTCCTCGATGGGATACACGAGCGCAAACAATTATCGTAATTATATTTTTCATTCATAATCCTTCCGCGCGTTATCGAATAGGTGCTCGTATTTGATAACCCGACAGACATTCGCAATGATGTTTGTAAACATCGATAATCGAACGGCAAAGATAGCTATCGCAGATTTGTAACATTAGTAATCGCCGATAAGTGCTATTTCTCAAAGTACAATCGGTTCGTGTACGAGAAGAATTTTGTTCGGAGATTGTGTCCGAATTCATCGATGAGTATCGACAATGTCGATGATGAATTAAAAGGCGTTTCACTTACTATAGTGGTGTAAAATATACACACGATACCGATGACCGGAGTAATCAGGTGTAGATTGATCCCTGTGGCCTGTGAAAATGCCAAAGCAGGCACATAGATGATCAAAGGTACGTAAATGATCAACGAAAAGGTGTAGAGGAACGAGGCGAAGGTCCTGACCGACCTCGTGAATCTCATCTCTAAGTATTCGAAGGTACTGGTCAATTGCAATTGATAAAAGACCGGCACATAGATAATGGAGATGAGGCCGCACGATATCACAGCCGTAAAAATACACGCGGCATACTGTGTGCCGTATTGATACACCTCGACTGGTACGGCCAGCAACGAAACAGCTGATACGTGACTGAAAATTCATTGAAAAACAAAAAACAATTACGTTATGCTCGGAAACAATTCGATCGCTTTGAAATTTCAAAGACTGCCCAGTGAAATTTTCATACGTGATCGTATCATTGATCCATATTATCTAGCGTTTCTCATCGAACGTGTTCAATTTCTTTCTCTCGGCAGTCCTGATCGCTTTCGTCGATGTGTCCGTACGTTTTTCTTTTAAATAACGCTTTCAAAGAATACACCTTACCTGGCAACTAAGCTCATGCTAACCGGAAACCAGGACATTGTTTTCCCTCCGAGCAAGTACTCGGTAGTGTTATCCTGTTTCTTACTGAAACAGCCAAAGTAAATCCCTATGAGGACACTGATCCCCAACAGACCACTGAAAAGGGTGTAATCGGTCCATCCGAAAGTAAGTCGCTTCAATTCTTGTCCAAGTAAATCAGATCCTGTTTCGTTCTCGGCCATTCTACAAATTCAATGGAATCGAAAATTAAAACATCGAGAGAACGCTTTGTTTCCTCGCTCGTGATGACTGTCGTCGACAAAATTGATCCGCGACCAACGAACTGTTCCGTTTTACTATTTTTATTCGTTTCATTATTTTCTTCTTTCCTTTATTTACGTTGCGATAAAACTTGTCGCGACAAACGAAACGATAGTATCTACTCGACTCGTAACGAACAATTAAATTATTCTCTCTTCGACAAGTATATTCAATTACCGTTCGAACGTCTTGACGGAAAATTAGGAAATAGAAGCAGTCAAATATTTACAGTACCCACGTGTCGATTTCTCCTTTTTTCAGGTATTTAGAATGACATTAAACTCGCGACGAACACGATCGCTATCCTCTAACGCAGTATTCAATGATCGTCGATGTTGCTCGACGTGCAGAAAATAAAAACTAAAACACTCACTTGTTGATCTGTCTGTCTTTAGTCGCGTTATCGCGCTCTCATCGACAAGTATAATCGATAATCCGAAAATCTCACGATCTTAATAGTTGAACAAGATTTCAATCTGAACGTCGGTCGCTGATTCGAGCCAATTCGATTCGATCGTAATAAGATAGTAACGAGTTGGAAAAGTACTCGACTGGATCTACATTCTTACTGACAACGATGACGTTCAATTCTGATGCTATATGTTTAACCAATGTTGTACGAAACATCAAGGCTAATTTATGATGGGAAGATAAAGTGTTCCGTCTTTCGCAATGTTTCGCAAATAGTTAAGTATCCTTAAAAACCAACTCGAACCTTGAATTTTATTCGGTAACCAACGTCGCCGACGCCTTGTTTGCCGGGAAGAATTTCAGAGGTGTATACAGAACAACGAATCGCTGTCCCAACGAATAGAATAGACACGAAGATACCAGTAATAAATTATTTTGGACGTTGATCAAACATCGCTCGCGTCTAGAACGACTCAGCAAACGATATAACGCGCCAGCGAAAGAGCAAGAACAACAATTTGTAACAACTTATATATGTATACATGTATATATATATATATATATATATATATATATATATATATATATATATATATATATATATATATATATATATATATATATATATATATATATATATATATATATATATATATATATATATATATATATATATATATATATATATATATATATATATATATATATATATATATATATATATATATATATATATATATATATATATATATATATATATATATATATATATATATATATATATATATATATATATATATATATATATATATATATATATATATATATATATATATATATATATATATATATATATATATATATATATATATATATATATATATATATATTTCTTTTCTTCTCTTTTCCTTTTACAATATTATCTTATGGACTGTATAAATCTCAAGACATTCCGTACAACAGCCACTCCGTTAATTGCTGCATCTTTTGTTGTCTCTCCGTGTCGCTACAATTGCCTAAAAGATCGTCCAATGTTTTCTTTTCTTCAGGATCCAATTCTTCGAAAGGGTTCAATGGTTTGGTAACCATACTTGGAAGCGTTACGTCGTAGTAGAGATAGATCTGTGAACATTTGTTTCGGATGCACGTTAACTTATCGTTCGAGAATTTTTCTTCATTTCTTTCGGTTATTAAACTATCACCACGTGCCAAGTCGGCACGCGTTGTATAACCGTACGATCAAAGAAGAAAACTTCTTACCGACACGGTATATCATCAATGTCAAGAATTTTCCGTTTCTACTCTATCGGTGGCAATATAACGGTATTCACCGCGGTATTAATATTTCCGATAAACGAAATATTACCTTATTGTTGAAGGTGTTGTACACGAGGCAAGGCGTCGAAACTCCAGGCGTGACGTTGTAATTACCGGTGCAGAACGCTCTGACCGGCTCTTCGAATTGAAAACGTACGCTGTTTCGTTTCTGATCCAAAATATAAGTTTGCCCGTCCCAAGCGCAAGCAATTATCTCGTCGGTTCCGTCACCGGTTACGTCTAATCGACATAAAGCGAATATCTGATGAGCTACTTGCATGGACCTAAAGAAAACGTATGGAACGTACAAGATGTAAACGAAAAAAACAAACCAGGTAGAAGTATACGTGCGAGATCGATAAAAATTTACGAGTATTTTACCACAAAATGATTTCGTCTTTGACCAACATTATCGTGCCGTCCAACGTAGCAAGAGCATACAATATTATCTTATGGACTGTATAAATCTCAAGACATTCCGTACAACAGCCACTCCGTTAATTGCTGCATCTTTTGTTGTCTCTCCGTGTCGCTACAATTGCCTAAAAGATCGTCCAATGTTTTCTTTTCTTCAGGATCCAATTCTTCGAAAGGGTTCAATGGTTTGGTAACCATACTTGGAAGCGTTACGTCGTAGTAGAGATAGATCTGTGAACATTTGTTTCGGATGCACGTTAACTTATCGTTCGAGAATTTTTCTTCATTTCTTTCGGTTATTAAACTATCACCACGTGCCAAGTCGGCACGCGTTGTATAACCGTACGATCAAAGAAGAAAACTTCTTACCGACACGGTATATCATCAATGTCAAGAATTTTCCGTTTCTACTCTATCGGTGGCAATATAACGGTATTCACCGCGGTATTAATATTTCCGATAAACGAAATATTACCTTATTGTTGAAGGTGTTGTACACGAGGCAAGGCGTCGAAACTCCAGGCGTGACGTTGTAATTACCGGTGCAGAACGCTCTGACCGGCTCTTCGAATTGAAAACGTACGCTGTTTCGTTTCTGATCCAAAATATAAGTTTGCCCGTCCCAAGCGCAAGCAATTATCTCGTCGGTTCCGTCACCGGTTACGTCTAATCGACATAAAGCGAATATCTGATGAGCTACTTGCATGGACCTAAAGAAAACGTATGGAACGTACAAGATGTAAACGAAAAAAACAAACCAGGTAGAAGTATACGTGCGAGATCGATAAAAATTTACGAGTATTTTACCACAAAATGATTTCGTCTTTGACCAACATTATCGTGCCGTCCAACGTAGCAAGAGCATAAGGTTTTCCTTGCGACGATGAATCTTCCTCGACGTTCGCCTCACAATCCGCTCTATCTTTCGATTTGAAACTCTCTATATTATTATTGTCGTTCATGTCTTCGGGAGAAAAGTCTTTGTACATGGGTAATAAGGAATCTTTTTCCGGTTTCTCGTCGTAATCGCCAAGAATCACGTTGCCACCCAAAATATTCCCATCAACTTCATCCGTACCGAGAGATTCGGTGCATTGGAAAAGTTTGCTCGTTCGTTCCCCTGTCGCGTCCGAGAAGTTATCTTTACGCAACTCCGACCGTGAATCGTTCGTAGCGGATTTTACGTTTCTTCCGCGTTCATGTTCGCTCGAAACCTCTTGTTTCTCTACCGTAGATTCTAAATCTCCTATGATTTCTGTTGAAATATTTTGATTACGCATTCGCGATATTCCCAGAGTTTGATAATCCACGCAACTCGCCGCCGTTTCGTTATTTGTTCGATGAATTCCGTCTTCCGAGTGACAATCTTCGGCGTTACATTTAATTCGCATGAACGTTCCACCGGGTTGAGCAACTAACAATGTTGGCGTTCCATCAGCCATGTGCTAAATGAAAATAAAACGTCAATTATTACGGGATACTCGAATTCGTTTACGGTTTCTTTAGATCCACTGTACCTGCAACGTGACTGTTCCTATCTGATTGGCACATTCCCACTTGTTCAATCCGACTAACTTTCCTCTTCCTAACTCTAGATTGCTGGACCATCTGTAAGATCTAACTACGCGATCGGTTAAACCAAGTATCATCTCATTTGCGCCATCCTTATCCACGTCTGCTACCAAAACCACTTTTGTGTTCGTTGGAATTCTTTGTACGTGCACGCATTCCATTTTACCGGACAGCTCATTGATCTCGTTAGTGCCATCGATTTGATCCGAACTTGGGGAACTGGTCGTATTAACGTCTGCCATTAAATCCATGCTTGTAAAGTCTATCGTATTCATCGAATAATCGAAATAATCGAAATAATCGAAGAAATTTTTGAACTTACTGCTCTTAATATTTTCGTGATCGATAGTTTCCTTAGTTGACTGCTGCGCGAAAGTTGTATTACTGATACTAGGATTAACGGATCTTGGACTATAGAAAATATGTGCCCAACCATCTCCGCAAATTACAACTAACGCATTTCGTCCATAATTAAAAATATCTCCTACCGCTACGCTAGTGACGAGACCTAAGCCAGGTATTTTTTGCCATAACTCGGACCCCTGTGATATAATGATTTCAAATATATATTCAGTATGTACGAAAAGATTTATATGTAAACTGTTAGGAAACCTAAAGCGTAATATTTACTTTGAAAATATAAAGTTCTCCCTCTGCCGTACCAACGACTAATTCGTTATCTCCGTCATTATCAACGTCTCCTATTGTTAATCCGTGTCTACACACGGTGCCAGGTAAATCCCACTGTAGCCTCTTAACAAAACTCACAGCCCTCATATTGTCCGCGTTAACGTTTGCGTTTATCCACCCGGAACTTTTACCGAATTTAATGGAAAATTGTGATTTAACATAGAAGGATAGAGATACTGCCAACGGCTAGGTGGCCATACTATAGATGTAGCTTTCGCGGTTATCAGCGCCGTAGAAACTGGTCCAAATGTATTAGAATCCATGGACCTTCCAATATGATCTCCTTCTACCCAACAATGACCTTCTGGAACCTGCCAAATAAATAGCATTAGAATTTGTACAACGGTGCAAGAAACAATTAACTTTTCAGAATTTTCCAGCTGTAAATACCTGAAGAATAGTTGTTTTATACCCATGGGTGCGCACAATGTCTCCAGAAAGACCCACTACTCGTTTAATTAAAATCTGATTCGGAGACTTTGGAGATCTTACGGTAACTATCTCGCCGCGTTGAATATCTTGAGTACGAACTGCGCGACGATTTAAAAAAACGTAATCTGGATTCTTCTCGTCCGGATTTAAGGTTGGTTGCATAGAAACACCTTCTACTTTGGCTATATAACCAATCTTGTCCAAGAAGGTAATCCCAGTAGGAATGCCTATAAGGATACCAGCGAAAAACTGCCGTACTTTCATCTATCGCATTTATATCCTAAAAATAATAACCAAATCATTTATTGGAAATAATGTATGAAATTATATATCCTATAATTCTACTATATATTTAACATTCTAAATCGCGTGATTTCACGATAAAAAACGAAATTACACAGTAATTTTCTATAAATCGAAAATTTTAAAGGTTAATGTATTTATATATATCAGTCGTTGAATTGAAAAGGTATTTAATACCTGATTATTTCTTCTTTCTTATTTTTCCTATATAGTACAGATCAAATTAAGATCCGAGTTGGTTAATACTAAAGAAAAACCATATTTACTGTTTATTAAACTGGTAACCAAAAATTGAGGTTATAAAGAAAATTATGAGTAAAGTGTTTAGACTTGCAGCAACTGTTGTTATTATTCAACACGCGCTTATATAATACCAACTGTTTTCCACCAACAATCCTGAAAGCAGCAATTCGTGTAACTAGATTTGAAATGTATATCTCGATGAATCAATTGAAAATATCAATTTGTAATAATATCATTTATTTCTTTGATAACAACGTTGATAGTAACTATGGCGCTAAAATAGATAATCTAAAATAGTTTATTTTTTTTCTTAGATGGATCTTTATATGTATGTATACGTTTATTCGTGAATCAGATACGATTACAAATGCTCTATCCCAACAATAATAATTATATTTTAATAAAAGTTTATCGTCATAATAATGCTTTGGGTATTATTAAATTAATATTGAAATTATATTACGCGATACAGGATATAACTAGTCGTTCTCTCAAGGCTATAATATAACGAATTGGTACTACAACGTTTTGCGTTTTCCTATTACTGTTTAGTAATGTTTTACAAAAAATGCGGCAGCCTTATGCAACTGACATATTTGCATAATTGATTTGAAACAAATATTTTAACAAAATATTTTAAATTAAATTATTTTAATTTATGCACGAATAACCAGAACATTACCTGCATTTTTTTTATTAGTATTTTATTATTAACTCTTTCTATATAGATATTATGTAACAATACTAACAATTTTAACTGATACTGATTATGAAGAAATGAATACTGTGAACATTAATAATATCGTTACCGTTATCATGGAAGATCATGCAATTAAATAAATTGTATGCTTTCCGTATAATAGTATTTTCAATTTCAACTTGCATTTTAATTTTTCTCATTTTTTACAATAAGAAACATCACTCTATATTATACAGAAAATAACAAGAGTTTTTGCACTTGCATTCGATATAGAATCGCACTAATTAAACATAGGTATGAAAATGACAATGCTGCGTACTACATGACTTTATAAACTACAACGTTATAAAATCTTCGTTCAAACATAACTGCAATACTGCCATATACAACGCGATATAAAATTCGTAAATAAAAAAACCGAACAAAATGGTTATGTTGATGACGTAATAAAAAAAAGTACTAAGTAGCATCAAACTGATAAAACTGGTATGTGCAGAAGCATATAGATCAGTGCTTGCCAATCGGTATACCTGATACAGAATCAGAATCAGATTAGAATTGCGTAGCGTTTAATTGTATTGTATCTATTGACTGTACTAGAATTCTGTGGTCTTCATTGCACAATGACGTTATCGGACATATGCGCGAAGCACTGCCTCTTGTTTGGCCCCACTGATTAATAAATTTCTGATTCTATTAAATATAGGATACAACTGGCAATAACATGATCATGCATTAAATTCGAGTCTTGTGAACTTATCAAGTGTTTGGTAGTGCTTAACCAACATTCTGTACCATTTGTAATTACTTTGACCAATTATGCTGTTATTTCTGCTTTTTATCGTTCCATCAGTTTTAAAGATTGGTAAACACTGATTTAATTAAACGTTAGTTTATCATCTCAGTTTTATTTTTTGCTGAACTGTCTTTTCATTATAAGGCAACCCGTTTGTCTCCAGTCTCTTCTATTTCACCATTTTCACTCCCCGCAATTCGTTGTTCGTATAGTGGTTATTTTTTACTCTTTTCTTCTTCCACTTCTTTCTTTGTTTCTTTTACATTTCATTTCTATATCATGCAATATCAATTAAACACGCTTCTCGTTGACACGTTTAACAGAAAATTTTACACGCTTTTTATATGCTTCTTCCATCATCATCTTCTTTGTTACTTTCGTCCTCATCGTATTCTTCTTCTTCTTCTTCTTCTTCTTCGTCTTCTTCTTCTTCTTCTTCTTCTTCTTCTACTTCTACTTCTACTTCTTCTTCTTCTAATATCTCCAGCCCTTCCACTACCTGCGCCTTCTCCACCGCCACCGCCACCTCCTCCTCCTCCTCTTCCTCCTCCTCCTCCTCCTCCTTCCGTTTCTTTGCCATCAATTATTTCAACATTTGGCACTATTTTCCGGTTTTCCACATTTAAAATTGTGACATCTTCTGCCTCCAGTAAATCTTGATTTTCTTCTTCATATTCCTAAGTTAATAGCAAAATAGTTAATCTTCGACATAATTCAGTGATTTTAGTGTTTAAATTATAGTAAGGAAAATTGATAGATTGTATGTATTTATGAACGTGTAATAATTGTATAACAATAGATTCTAACTGTAATAATTAAATGCGGTAACTAATTCCATCGCCATTAAATAGATTCAATTAGTTTAAATAAACAAATGTTATTCACTGATATTGTTAAAAAAATTAGATTAATAGTAGGTTAATATAATATAAGTGATAAGAATTTGTTGCAATAAGAAGAATGTAAAATGTGTAATGTATGCGTTTTGGTATAAAATTAGTAGATCAATAAAAATAAATACAATGCATAATATAAATTAGATGTTAATGTTTAAAACAAATCACAGAATCCAAATGACTATTATTTGCACGATAGCATATTGGTATTGAGCTTACACGGACAATTAAGTAGAGAAGCTGTTTTTGCGGTTCATATAATTCTCGTGATTTGTCATTTTCATGTTAAGTAATCTGTACAGAAGCAAACAATTAAATGAATGAAAGAATCACCAAATAAAACAAGGCTCCGCAGATTCATTTGATTCTGTTGGTAATTCTAATATTTTCTTACAGCTGCATTTTGGTCGAGACTGATGAGGGAAAGGGTCATTTTGCCTGAAAGTACAACAGGTGCTTCCACGTCCTCTTCGGGCTTTTGTGCCTGTGTTTCTGAATCTGTTACAAGTAATTCGCACTGTGGTGGAAGTGCACCTTCTAAATATATTGGCACTGGCGGTGTTTTCTCCCTTTCAACGTGACTAAAATAATGCAATTAATGCTCTTAGAAATCTTGCGTTAACGAGCTTACACTTTTGATAATGTTTCTATTACCTAGGTGAAATAGGTATTATAGGAGTAGTAGGTCTACTACCTTTACCCTCACAACTAGCTGTCATTTCCATACCCATGACTTTAACGGTCGGTGAATGTTCTATATTTTCTATTTCTTCGTCTGTGTTACTATAATCAGCCTGGGCAACAGCATCGTTCTGTAAATTAAATTATTTAAATGAACTACCGCTCGCGCTACTTTCTTTAAAAAATAGTTACACGATTACAAGATTATAACATAAAATAAATATTATAATATATATTACTTTTAACTGATACTACAGCATGATGGTTAATATTCGTAAATTAATAAAAACTTAACGTTTTTTATTTCTATTAGGAGTACAATATAGCATTTATATAAAAATCATGCAACTTCCAGATAAAACATCAAAAGCATCGTGCTAATTTACTTTAACGAAAAGAAGGTCACAATGCTAAAAAAAAATATATAAAAATAATCGAATTTCCTTTTCGATTAGAACGATTAATAAGTTTCAATTATCATGCATTCAAATTTAGTTGACTTTAAGAAAAGACTTGGAAACATTTACTGCGGTTGAAATTTATAATTCTTGAATGTTAGATTTTGATGCATGTTGCATGTTTAACACGTGGTTATTATAGGATTAAATCCCTAATATCATGATGAATGAGTATTTTTAACGGGACAAATTTAATTTTGATGAAAGAATAAAAATTTAATACAAATAATTTCTCACAAACTCTGGTTACTCTGGTTAACAAATCTTTGAGGCAAAGAATATACCTTAAACGAGCGATCGACCCCTGCCAAGCCTTTGGACTTTGGAGGCCCATCTACTATTTAAATATAAAATTAAGAACTATAAAATTCTATTACTTAATATACTTAATGACTTAAATGCTTTGAACGAGTATTTCACTCAGCTAAAATATGAGTATGCACTTATCATCAAGATGGATGTATAAAAATTTGTAAATAGTTTAAAAATGGTTATACAAAAGCATCGATATATAGAAAAAGCAAAATAGAAGACCTTGTAGTAAAAATATAATATGTACATAATGTACGTTGGGAGAAGGTAAAATTTTTAAACGCAATCAGAACACAACAACGTGCATATATCTAAGGACTAATAAACTGAAAATGTAAATTGTTTCATAATTAGTCTAGTAAACCTTGAGTTCTTGTTGTGAGCTTGGACTATGCATAACTGAACGTGATATGTTGCCCATCTGAACAACAATTCTTTCCATGGCTGCTTCCGTCTCGACCAAACGTCGTCTCAGTTGATCTATCTCTATGTCTCCTGCCGCTTCTTGTGTTCCAGCATGTACAACATTACCAAACGAATTCAGAGAAAATACACGAGTACTTACAATACTTGTAATTTTAGTCTAACATTGTTTTAGTTAAATTCATGGTATAAATACGTGTGTGTTCTAATTGTGCAAACCTTGCATCATGCAACACCATTTAAAAATCTGATTAGATACTCAAAAAAACATGTACCTTATCTTTCGCTATTTCTTTAAAGGAACTAGCTTTCAAGGAAAACACTGCATTAATGATAAAGTAAATCAAGTGTCGTCGATAACTGTTTAAAAACTGAAAGAACTTACGATCTTTTAGCTCCTCTATGGTAGGTGTAGGCCTATCAGGTGACGATGATCTTTCCCTTTGATAATGCATCGTGCCCCCGGTCATTGCACTGGCAAAAGCTTCGGGACTAAATACCATCTTTCGGAACTCCTTTTCTGCTGCAACTCCTGGATACTCTGAAATGATTTCACTATCCGAATTTTTTTTTAGAACCTAATAAAATAAAACATAAGTTCATGGTACAATTTGTGGTAAATAAGTTGATAATAATTTTAAAATATTGTTTATAAAACATATTCTACAAATTACCTTAACAATTGTATACAAAAAGAACAGTACAATGCCTAAGGTATACAATGGCATAATGATTCCCATGGTACCATTTCCTTTTGGTGCAGAAACAACGTGTCCTGCACCACCCAAAGGTGGTCTCATTTTTGGCACAACGTGATCGGGTCTGTCTGTTACTTTGGGTACAATGTGAGAGGAAGGTATAGCTCTACCACGCTCTCTCAACGCAGGATGCAAACCTCCTGCATGAGGCGGTGTACGTCGTTCTTGTCTAAGAGTACCTAAAAGAAACATGAATACAGTGTTGCAGAAATAAAATGATTTTAAACAATTTATTACATTCATTATTATATTAGTATTAAACTACATGGTTAGTTACTATATACTAATATTGTTAGTATATAGCTCTTCCATATAACAAGAAAAATTACTACACGGATAGATGCAACTGTAACTATAGGTCAAACTTATTCCCATCTACTCGTTGCTAGTTATACTTGCTCTTTTGGCAACTTGCCAACTGAAAGAGATAATTTGAATCTGCTTTCCATATATAATCGGTAAAATTGATAAATCCAAAATTATATTTTAAATTTAAAAAAAATGATTAATTCAATGGTATTAATAAACATTTAAATACAACTGAAAATAGATAAGTACATTAACGGCAGAAAAAAGCTGCATGTATTATGTGCTGTTAGTGAGTACTGTTAACAGTTTTGATCAAAACTTTTTGTGATTCTTACTGTGAGGCATTAAAATATGATATCTTATCAGATGCGGTATTCCTAGTTGAGAAAGAGGTATACCAAAATACATTTTGAGGCATAAGGAACTATTAAATGATCTGATTTCTTCCAAAACTTGTTTATAAGACTTTCCCAAACGTTCCCTTTCGGCAAGAAAAGTAGACAGATCTATGCCACATCTTGCTAAAATTTCTTCTTTACATAGACTTGCACTTTGTGGAGTCAATTTTACTGTTCTTAAAGCATCTCTTACACGTGGATCAATCTGATGATGTTTTAATATGTTCTGACATATTTCGTACACAATATCGGCAGCAGTCACATCGCTTTCAAATATTACGTCACAGCATGCTAATAAATATTTAAGAACACAATTGAATGATTACAAAAAGATACTAAAATATATTCTACGAACCTAAATAGTTAATTGAAAACATTAAAAACTAAAATTATAAAAGAAGAAAGCTATTATAATCTTCCGTGAGGTCATTATCAATGTATTTTAATACATTGATAAATTGTCACTCATCCTTTTTTATTTTAAACATCTGAAGGATTATTAATTTGATACGTGTATTAAAATCTTACCAGAACTATCGGATGTATGATGTGGAGTGACAGATGCTGTGAGCATAGGATAGAAAATTTTCGGCCACAAAACCGCGAAGCACCCTGCCACAATGGCTAGAATAAAAATCGTTTTTCTTGGGCCAAAATCCGTTATTTCAGCCATATTCGAAAATTTGTCGTTCGTATAACGTTCGTAATTTCGATAAAAGGTAAATTAGTCGTGGATCTTCCACTACCACGTTCAAGGATCGCGAACGGATGGAAGACACAGCGCACTGTCGTCTGCTATTTCTGTCATGGGACAGGGCTGTACCTATCCGCTTTTGTTCCTAAAATATTTTCCCTTAATGTTCGTTAAAATTTTAAACACGTTTTTATAATTAAATTTTTGATCAATCAATTTTTGAACATAACATCCTTGTAACTTGCTTGAATCTAAGATTGTAGCATAACTTTCGTATAAAATGAATAAGTTATGAAAATATGAAAAATTAACGCGAGCACAAATGTATTTAAAAATCCATAATGTTTTATATTTAGACGATGACTAATTTGTAATAATAATTCTGACATAGCATAGTACTCAAATATTACATAATGTTGAAATAATTTGATCAAGTTTCTCCATTCTTGCCTGGGATTAATGTGGTACTTGTTACAAGAATAAGCCAAAAAGCTGGCCAAAAATAGCAGGTTTTGGCAATGTCATACAGGCAAAGCAAAAAGATCTTGTTTGATAGGTAAAATGATAAAAATATGTACAACTCGAGACTATGGAACTTGCTTGCATTTATTTACATCATACATTAACAATGATAACAATGATAAAGATAAGAAAATGATAGCTTACAATATCCTAAAATTGGTGCTGACCTATGGATATTCTCAATTCATACAATTTATTCTGGGCCACCTCTCTGAAAAAAGGAAATTCATTGCGATATAAAATTCGTTTAAAAAATGAAATTAAGAAATCATGCATTTATTTACAGGGCTAGTGTGAGGCTAATTCGAGGATTTAAGTATACTATGTCTTCACGAAAAGTTTGCGTAAATTTTGCGAGACTCGATGCACGATATCACGTATGAATATTTATAAAGTTTATAAGCGTTTCCAGTTCGAAATGTTTTAAGCTTGAAACGCGTCAATCTTAAAACGTTTCGAGCCCCACACAATTTTTAAACCCAACCCTACAAACGTTCGTACCTGCCTTGTTTATTTATACGCATAAATATGTACAAAAAGTTTCATTAAATCGAACGAACGGTAATAAAACAATAGTATACTTACATTAATATATGCAATTTCTTTTTCATCAATGGGTCGTCTTTGAAATCGTGGAGGTAAATGAATATCATCTATAATTGGTAAAACGGTTACATTTGGCCCCGTTGCACCGACACTTCGTTGTGATGTCGGCCCTGCTTGCGTAGACTGAACATTTGTCCCCTCAGGAATTGCTAACCAATAACAAAAATTTTAGTCAAGTTAAACGCATTTAGTGATTATATCTGATATTACCTCTGCTAATTCCTCCCTTACGAAATTTAATCAAAGGAACGTGCGGTTTTACCACCTATAGAAATGTTATTTGTGTAAATGACATAATTATTATTTGCATGTGTGGACACACGGTATATGTTTCTTACAATTATACCGATGCACTGACCTTCCAACCTTTACTTGCCATCATAATTTTTCTTAAAATTGTATGTTATGCAAAGAGGCAATGTTACTTGCGACAGTACGTATGTATCTTCTTTCGTTCACTTTAATGCTGTAAGTAGATGGCGTGTTTTGACATACTTTATCGGAGTACAAAATATTTAACGCAAACATTTAACGCGTGCAAAGTTCCATTAACTGCTTGTGCAATGCGATTGCCAAAAATGGCATCGCATGTACCAATATTTAATGTTGAACTTTTTTATTTAATTTTTTTTAGAAACTTTGTTGAAATCGAATATAAAAGAAAACATAACTGCACGAGTTTAAAGTGTGCGAAGTCTAAAGTAATTGAACTGGAAAATCATGATCAACAGCGAATATGCATACGTATTTAATAGTTTACTTGTAACAATTACAGTAACCATGACAATTATTTACTTTTTGCAATTAACTCTATCATTAGATCAATGTAACACTACAACTACTAAAGAGTTAGGAGGATGGCAGTAATAAAAATATACACACGTATTTATATATATGTATAATAGTAAATTGTATTTTATTGTAAACTTAACTTAATTCCAAAATATTTATTATCTAGAACAAAATTTTGTACTATAAATTAAGTAGGGTTTGTATGATACAAGAAATGAAAATGAGAATGTTTGACGATACCACATAAAACGTGGCTACTTTGGCAGTCTTTCAATAACTACAATGACATTAATGTTTACTTCGTATTCAGATCTTAAACTTAGTCTACTTCTTCCATTCGTGAAGCATCTTCCGTGTCTCCTTCAAGGGGAGGTACATCTTCTGTATTTTGTTCCTCTGGTGCAGGTTCTTCTTCGTCGATACCAAGTCCCAGCTTGATCATTCTATAAATTCTTGCAGCATGAACCTGAGGTTCATCCAACGTAAAACCTGAGGAAAGAAGGGCTGTTTCGAACAGCAAGATTACTAAGTCCTTTACTGCTTTATCGCTCTTGTCAACCTCTGCTTTTTGACGAAGAGTTTCAATAATAGCATGATCTGGATTGATTTCAAGATGCTTTTTAGCAGCCATGTAGCCCATAGTAGATGTATCTCTAAGAGCTTGAGCTTTCATGATTCTTTCCATGTTGGCTGTCCAGCCATACTGCGAGGTAACTATACAGCATGGAGAATCTACCAAACGATTAGATACTACAACTTTTTCTACTTTGTTATCGAGAATGTTCTTCATTACTTTGCACAAGTTTTCAAACTTGGCTTTATCTTCTTCTCTCTTTTTCTTCTCCTCCTCGTCTTCAGGGAGTTCCAATCCTTCTTTGGTTACGGATACTAACTGCTTGCCATCAAACTCTTTCATTTGTTGTACTACGTATTCATCGATAGGTTCTGTCATGTATACAACTTCGAAACCACGTTTCTTCACACGTTCAACGAAGGAACTGTTTGCAACTTGTTCTTTGTTCTCTCCAGTGATGAAGTAAATGTGTTTCTGATTTTCCTTCATTCTGCCTACGTAATCCTTGAGAGAGCAAGCTTCGTCACCAGAAGCAGAAGTATGATATCTCAAAAGGTCTGACAACTTGCTACGATTAGTACTATCCTCGTGAATACCTAATTTAATATTTTTACTAAATTGTTCATAGAATTTCTTATAGTTATCTTTATCTTCTGTAAGTTCTTCAAATAATTCTAAACATTTCTTAACAAGATTCTTACGAATAACCTTCAAGATTTTATTTTGTTGAAGCATTTCACGAGAAATGTTAAGAGGAAGGTCTTCACTGTCAACTACACCTTTCATGAAATTCAAATATTCTGGTATTAATTCTTCACAATTGTCCATAATGAATACCCTTCGTACATAAAGCTTGATGTTATTTTTCCTTTTCTTGTTCTCAAATAAGTCAAATGGCATCCGCCTTGGAACAAAGAGTAAAGCTCTAAATTCTAACTGGCCTTCGACAGAGAAGTGTTTCACAGCTAAATGATCTTCCCAATCATTGGTCAATGATTTGTAGAATTCACCGTATTCCTCTTGAGAAATGTCATCAGGATTTCTAGTCCAGATAGGTTTTGTTTTATTCAATTCTTCATCCTCTGTATATTTCTCTTTGATGGTTTTTTTCTTTTTCTTTTTTCCCTCTTCCTCGGTTGCTTCTTCACTTTCATCTACATCTTCGACTTTTGGTTTTCCATCGTCCTCTTCTTTTTTTTCCTCAGGTTCTTCAGCTTCGTCTTCGCTCAGTTCCTTCTCGCGTTCCTTCTGAACAACTAATTTGATCGGATAACCAATAAATTGGGAATGTTTCTTAACAATCTCCTTGATTTTACTTTCCTCTAAGTATTCGCTTTGGTCTTCTTTTATATGTAAAACAATTTTGGTTCCACGTCCTAATGGCTCCCCAGGATCATGCCTGACAGTAAACGATCCACCGGCACTAGACTCCCATAGGTATTGTTCGTCGTCGTTATGTTTTGAAACGACCGTAACTTTATCAGCTACAAGGTAGGCAGAGTAAAATCCTACACCAAACTGACCAATCATGGAAATATCTGCGCCAGCCTGAAGCGCTTCCATAAATGCTTTGGTACCAGACTTAGCGATTGTACCAAGATTGTTAACCAAGTCTGCCTTGGTCATACCAATGCCAGTATCAATAATGGTCAATGTGCCATCATTCTTGTTCGGAATAATTTTAATGTACAATTCTTTACCGCTGTCTAACTTGGAAGGATCGGTTAAAGATTCGTAGCGTATTTTATCGAGAGCATCACTGGAATTTGAGATCAACTCTCTTAAAAAGATTTCCTTGTTAGAATAAAACGTATTGATGATCAGAGACATAAGCTGAGCAATCTCTGCTTGAAACGCAAAAGTCTCCACGTCTCCAGCCTCAGTTTCCATTTGTGCAGACATCTGGAATAAACAAACATTTTTTTATTTTATATTCTGAAAATTTGTACCATTTTCACCATTAATTTAAGTAATTCAAATTTTGTAAAATCGATAAAAAAAAAAAGAAAAGACACGTGTCCGCATTCGCATAAGTATACACATATAGAAAAAAAAAAATATAAGCACAAAATATTAAAATTTAATACAGAAGCACCAAATTTATAAGAACGTTCGATTTAAAACAATGGTACAAAATTAGTATTATAAATTTGATTTAATAGGGACAGTTTTCGTATTTAATTATTAATCAAATTTAATATATTACACGGATGTACGAAGTAAAACTTTATAAATAGACGAAAAAATTTCTTAGAGACTCTAAAATGAAAGAAAAGAATTATACCTTGATATTGAGTCGAGTCGATATTAAATGGTTTTCGGAGATGCGAGAGCACGTTGTCGAGCACCTGGCAGATTATTGAATGAAGTGGCGCGTTTAAGTTTCGCTTTATATACTCGGGAAAATTCTAGAATGTTCTAGAACATTCTAGAACATTTTTATTTCTGTGGACGATTCACATCCGGTGAACTTGACACTCGTCTCAGTAAATTTTTCATCGATGGAACTGTTTCATTTATATAGACTATTTTATTTATGCTGGTAAAATTTACGCATATAAAGGTTGCGCAGTCGAACACCAATTCATTCGTTTTGAACGATAAAAATCCCATTAGTTATTTTCTCCCCCGACGTGGTAACTTCCGGCATTTATTACGAGCGAACAAATCGAATATAATCGAAAATTTTTTAACGCACAAATAGACGGTTCTTATCGGAACACTTCCTGCTAATCGTGATTCAGCATTTCGTGAATGTCGTTGCTTGATCAATGGAAATTACACGTGAAAAGTGCATTATCGTTCCGATAGAAAACTATTCGCCATTTTCGATTAGCTTCCTAATTCGACAACGCGTGATGTTGTATCACATTGACTTATTTAGAGTTAAAGAGTTACTCTCGAAAACTTTGACAACTTTACGCGATTCACTCGCTTGTATAATACGTATTTAAAAAAAAAAAACGAGTCGAATAGAAAATATTGTTCCGTTGCTTATAAATTTTGTATCTCTTCAATGTTTAACGCAACTTGCCCAAGATCAGCTCGCAGCTCACTAAACTACGCTTTAAGGATATTTATGCTAGTCGATCAGAAATTTCGAGAATTCGAAGTTTAAGACATTTGTTGTTTTCAATTCGCACATTTAACGCATTTCCACGAGTCCTGGTTTTTGTTCGAAACAACAGTTTTCATATAGATATTTAACATGTGGAAAGTTCTGTACTATAATTTGTACAAATACGAGTCTTTGTTAAATGACTTGCTTCTTTTCTATGTTAAACGAATGCGATGTTTTAAGAAACAGCATCGATATGATGAATCATTGTGCATCATGTATATTCATTGGAAACCAGAAGGTTACTAGAAAATTGATGTATAATAGTAATAAATGAAATTGCTCAATAGTAAAATTGATCATATGCATGAAAAGAAAATCGACACCGTTGCGTGAATTTTATTTTTGTAAACACACGATTAACAAATCGGAAAGACCGAAGAATTCGTAAGAACCGCGGAATTTCTGTCGGTATCGAATAGAATGTAACTACGTATTGGAATGTGGCGCCCCCTGAATTTCTGGCAAATAATCGATTTCGTACGAGTTTGTCATTGGACAACAAAAAGACTCGAATTTCATCAAATAAATGAATATTTATTTTTGCGATTATAATCCTTACGGTAATTAGTGTTCTATGTTTTAACTGCGATCTTTCAATTACGGAAACTCATAAAGTCTAATAATTTTTCATTTTGAAATTTATAAAACAATCGTATCGCATATATTGTATTAAAAATCGATACGAATAAATCGATAGACGGATATTAATTCGATTAGTCGAATATCTTTCAGTTTTGAAATTGATCGATAAAACGCGATCGTATAATATTTTTTGGTACATCGAATCCTGGATCGATACGGATTAATCGACACGAGGGTAAACGGTTTTTTTTCTAATTCGATTAATGGTACAGCATTTTTGAACGTTGAAACGTAAAATGTAAGAAAACGCTCGTAATATGCGTATTTATCGAATCGAAATCGTACTAATTCCATAAAAAATTCTATTTTGAAATTCAACGAAGACTTCGAACTCGAATTCGGCGTATATAGAATAAAATTAGTATGGAATAGAGTAAGGATTGGATGATATTATGATCGTTAAGCCACGAAATATGATCGCGTAAAGAGAAAAACGAAATATCGATACTAGTTCTGAAACGTCGACGATAGGTAATCGAGTCACGTGGAAATGACACTACTAGTAATTACAAATGCCCAACCCGTACGTTCCGGTGCAGAATGAATACAGAAATGTTCGGATCGTCTTTTACCTATTCATCGTGTCTTCGGTATAGCTTATTCCAGAAGTAAAAGTTTCTTAGACCCATCTCTCTCCTCGATTGAAAGGTTCATCTAAAGATTCGAAGGATTCAAAGGAATAAATAAACGTTAACGAAATAATTTATTTTTATTCTTTTTACGTAACGTCGGTCTTACAGAGTTAAATAGGAATATTTTATTCGCATCGGAATGTCAGGGAAAACGATAAGAGCATTACATAAATCGATTTCACGGATAAACCACGTAGAATCTGGTTCACGGCTACGAACAGTAGCTCGTTTCGAAGTATGGAACTTTCGAAACACGTCGTACCGGTGGTTGTAGCGACAGCGCTGAAATACTCGGGGGAAGATCGCTGGAGTTGATATGGCGAGGAGCTTAACTCCGGTAACCTAGCTTTATGATGTCGAATAATACTCATACAGCTAGATAACCAAAGAAAATGTCCGCGCCAAGATCCTCTCGGTCGGTTACTAGACGTCTCGAAAAATGATAATATCGATTACATGATTCGAAGAGGCGGTGGAGTTCCTTACCTACGAGGAAAGAATATAAAGAGGCAAAAGTTTGGAAAAGTTGCAAGAGGAAAAAGTTGGTTTTTATAAATTCTTTGTAAATAGCTGTCTAGAAATACATGTATCGTCGAGTGAATTTCGGAGAACGCGTAATACAGGTAACGTTAGACGACCGTAGCAGAACGGTAATAAAATGGTTTTATCGATTCGAGGGATTCCATATTGTCGGTCGGTCGGTAAACGAGATCACGCTGCAGACCGTAGTTCGTAGCATCGATCGTAGTTATCGAGTCATCGATCACCGATGGATCGTTTTTCTTGATCGCTGTTTCCTCGTTGCGGAATAATGACGTGCACGTGTCGCCAGCCAGCAGTCTGTAACAGAAAGAGTAGGAGAAATCGTAAAACGTTTAACGACAAGAATTGTTCTTTTGTCGCGTAACCAGGAATTGATTGATATGCGCGGGGCTTTGAAAAGTGAAACACGAGCCGCTGACATTTCGGAGTGAAAGTCTAGTGGTCGGTAGAAGACCGGCCGTTTGGCTACGGGATAGATAGCCACGGGCTACGAGGAGCCGCGTACACCTGGAAATTCTTTCGACGTTTCCAGGCCAAAGTCGTTCCTCGTAAAAGCACCGCATAGCGCATGGAAAGCACCGAGAACACGGAGAAAGCGACCAAACACCAATTACCTGACCGCCATACAATTACGCGCAAGTTATCGCTCTTATACGTAAGTAGCTAAGCAGTTGTTCGTTCGACACGGCTCCTATGGCTCGAAAAGATACGTCGAATATTTGTTGAAATTCGGAAAAGAAGAGAATTTTTGGAAAAATTTTCTCGCAGGAAAGCGAGCAAGTACGAATCACGCATTCGGCGAACGCGCTACTCGCGTTTAGCCGTAAAACCCGAGCGATCGAACGAAACGGAGACTTAGCTGAATCGTACAGCATATAAAGCACAACCTTACGTCATAATTACTTCAATTTAGAAGCACGTATGTACGTGTACACACATCGAAAAGCGACTTCCTGGTTAGCAGTTCTAGCGAATCGACTACTAACTTGAACAAAACTCCCGTCTCGAACTACGCAGAGGCGAACAAGATCGTAAAAGTAAATTCTAACAAACGTTTCTATTCGTTGTCGAATGAACGCGAAAGCGTAACGGGTTCGATCGAGATTCGAGCGACAGGAATAGACTTTCATTCTATTGGACATATTACGATGTCACTTGGATCCATACAAGTCCAGACATTACTCGATCATCGTTTTTATTATCTATCGTTATCCAACTAGCGTTATCTGCTCACGTTTTCTGACGTTACAGTCGCGATATCGAGAGGGCTCCCTCGAGCGGCTGCCAAGACCGGTATACGTCTACCAACGCGTGTTTCGTAAGAGGTTGCATTTGGAGAAAGTTATGATCTCGCGAGTTGCCTTATATCCGTTCTTCGACTCGGTTTTATTATCAACTTCTCCTTCTCTCTTCGTACACGCGCAATCGCTCGATCTCCGTCGAAATTCGTGACCGTGACTGAAAACGAGTACTTTACGAGAAGCGACAGCCTCGTTTTTAATCGAACCGACCGAAAACGTTCGAGCACGATGTTCGTATTTTAAGCATCACCCGTTATCGACTCTATTAGCCGGTCGAACGTGTATACGTATATCGTTTCCAGAATATCGAGTTTCGCAACAGATAATTTTGAAAGATTGCGACACATCGTTGCTCGAGCCGGGAATGAAAATCTTTTCTACAATACGATCGAGCGTTGCTACGTGATTTTTCGTTTCAACGTTCCGTCAACGACATTTCAATTTTACCTTTTATCCGAATATCCATCGAAGCTTAAACGTTAATATCGAACCTTTTTTCACGGAGAAACGCGCTTATCCTTCGAACGAATAGTATATTCGGCTGGCCACGCAACGATTAAAATTGAAATTGTCGCGATCGCGAGTATTAATACTACTTAACATAGTAAAATGTTAAACGCGCACGTACGAGAGTGAAAGTAGAAAAGATTCGATCGAGAAAACAAGCAAAAGAGAAGAAAGAACCTAAGAGAGCGCACTCACCTGCGAAACTTGGCGGTTCGTTTCTGCTTCGCTATCGAACACTAGATTCAACGATACACGTAGCCTTCCTACTTTCTAACATTCAATTTGCTTTATCATTACTCTATTTTGCTCGGTTTTCAGAGCACCGTAGCAACCAGACGAACGGCGAAAGCAACGTTTCCAGCTCGAGCAAATCGCTTATCCGAGTTATGCGAGTTATCCGAGTCGCGAAATCCGTCGACGCCACGTACCTACGGTAAATACGACCGAGTACCTATATCTTTGCACGATAAGCCGGCCTTCGATTTGTTCCATTCGTTTGCCGCGGTTGCTACATCCCAACTGTACTATTATCGAGAGATCACCGGTGTCAAGAATTTCGCCAAAGCTATCGGAAGAAAATACCGTTTAAACGATAGATAAAAAGCCGCTTCGAACTACGTTCGTGCAGGAATATTTCAAGATTTCGCGTTTCACCTGCTAAACATTTCAATGCCAAAGTAAAAAAAAAAGCTGGCATACAGAAATTTCGCGAGAGATCCTGAAGATAACGAGATCGTCTCCGAATAATTCATACAAGGAACAAGAACTCGTCTGATCGTCGTTCAAGGCAGAATGTTATTTATCAACGTCGCGGTTGTTTAACGATCTAATTAACGGCTTACGATACAATTAACAGTCCGGTGGTTCCGTGGAGCCATTGCAGGACAGGGTCTTTGCACGATACGTCTTATTGACCGTACTTTTTATCGACGAGTTTAGCGGCGCTCCAAAGCCGATTGCACAACCGATCAAGACGTGTCTGCAACCGAGACACGCGCCGATTCGAGTCTACCTAGCATCCCTTCGAAACTACGAGCAGAACTCGGAGAAGGATTTTTCGATGATAATCGGCACGATAGAAAGATCGTAGTCGTTGCGCGAAAGAAAGAAAGCGAACGAAACTTATAACGAGAGAGGCCGGCTTTCGACGCGACTTCCAATCGTTTACGCAAACACAGCTGCACAAGTACTCGAGATAGTCGCGACTAATGTCGTTTCACTTATAGGCATTATCACTTCGAGAGTATTTATCGAACTTGATTTAATTTCCTCGAACCGCTGTCGTACGGCAGACTCGGACGCGGAAAAAAAGCGGCGATTTTAAATGGTCTTTCGTTCCACGCTCTTTCGAAATTTCTTACTTCTCGAATTTATACTCTTCGCATCGCCTTTGATCCTGTTAACCGCGAGCCTCGTTACGCGAAATCATATTCGTTGTCTCTTTCGTCATTTTTTCGTCACGTTATCGATTTCACGAATTTCGAAGCGTCGCGTACAAATTATTCGACTATTTTTCTTAACTCCGATAAATACGTTAAGGCTAATCGATAGACGTTAACGTCAAGGACAAGGTGGTAAACTACGAAAGGTTGATTAGTCGTTCGATGGGAATGGTCGAATTTCAGAGGACGAAACGAGCAAGTAAGCCAAACAAAAAGGTATAACCTTTTCGAATAAATATTTGTAGTACGACACGACTGATGTATACGTTTCGTCTTGTTATTTACTTAACGAACGGGACGCGGTTTAACTTGCAAATTAATTTACGATCGCGAAACGGTTACTCGTTTCACTTTTTATCCCGCGCGCGTTCAACTCGAGTCAAGTTATGTAGCAGAGAAACAAGATTTCTACAAAGTAAATCGAAGCCTCAGCATCCTTTTAACGATTTCGCGTTAAATTATTTTCCAGGAAGATGGTCTCCGACATCGTATCGCGAATGTTCATTATCCGCGAATAATATCTTTTGCCGAGTAAATTCGACGAATAAACGGAATTAAACCGAAACGTAAACGGCGATGAATCTTGCTACATCGAACGAAGGCGAAAGAAACTTATCGAAGAATCTGTAAAGATGAAAACAAGCTGCACCGTGTATGTACAATGGTATCGATGGAAAGCAGAATCGATAATATTTACTGATAATATATTGCAGAGAATCTGACTGAGCAGAGGCATATACGTCGCAGGAAAGTCGGGAGGTCGTTATTTCGATCGAACGGGTTAATCGGTCGGTGTCACTGGTAACGAGGATTCACGGATCGGTAGTATGCACGCGGTGCGGTCAAACACACACGCGTATTTCTATGTTTTATTTCTCGGTCGCTCGCTCTACCGTGCAAATCTCGGATGCATTAACTGGCACGTTGAAGATCGTTCGCGATACAGGCTTCCGCAAATGCTAGCATAGCGGCCGTTGTTCGCCGCCAATCGGCAATGGTCGTCGAACGCGCGACTCGGGGAGAGAAGATCCGTTTTTTGCTGCTCGTCTATCCAGTAAAACGAGATTCTCGAAACAGGTTCGCAGAGTATTAACGATCGATACCATTCGAACGAGTTTATCTCGCCCAAAGGATTCGAACGGTGTGGCGGCGAGATGCAAAAACGTTCGAAGCATTCGAACAGCAACGAATTAAAGGAAAGCCGAGAAGAAGGTCGTTTTACGGTCGATCGTTACTTTAAAGGCCACCGTTGGCTACCTTGAACGTCGACGAGGGACGAGTTTTCCTTTTCGTTTACGCTTTCGAACGCGAGGCGCGAGGGAATAAACGGAGGAACGAAAAGACGCGACGAACGAGGCGTAAAAATCATGAGAGAATACGGGGGAACAAAAGCGTTCGAACGACTGTTATTTTTCCACGGTAGTAAGCCAGATAGACGAGCTGTTGTTGCTAAGAGGGCCGCAGAAATTCGCACGCGAAACGGTGCGAATCGGCAAGCGGACGCTCGCTCGGAAGAAGAAACGCGGAACCGTGAAAACTTGCCGAGCCGCGATTTCCTAAAAGACGAACAAGAGAAACGGAGTAGAAACGCGCGATAACGAGGAAGAGAGGCGCGTCTCTCTCGCTTCGCCTCGACCTTGTCTCTGTCGCGATTTGCGTTCTCTTCTTCCGGCGCGAACCGATACGTTGCGTTTCTCGACCACTCGACGACTTTATTTCCAACGTATCCAACGATCATTCGAGAGATCCATCGGAGCTCTCCTGAAACTTTGCCGCCCTTTCGGAGAGGACAATGTCGTAAAGGCTGAACTTCCGATCGAACAAACTCGTTTTTTTTTTTGTCTTTCTTTTTGATCGAACAAACCTTAAATTCGAGAAACGAAAAATGAGAAAGAGAGAGAGAGAGAGAGAGAAATTCGTACCTGTCGATCGAAGCCAAGGACACGGTCAGGTCAATGCGTGAATTTTAAGTCCGTTACTATTTCCTCCGTCTTACCGACGCGACGGCGCGCAGAGCACCGGGACCGAAAGAGGAGGAAAGAGAGAAGAGTCACACCTGGCGCGGTACGAGATGAGATCACTACCGCACTCACTGATCAACTGGCCCCGCGCCCCACGTCCGGGGCCGCACGCACCTTTCGCGGTTGCCCCTTCTTTGCCCCTCCGGAGCAAACTCGCCGAACCGGGCCCCTCCACTCCCTACCACCTTTCCTTTTGCCTCTTCGCCCTCGTCTCGAGCGCCCATTGGTTCGTTCAAATCGACGTCGTGACGTCACCGAAGCCGAACCGACTCTCTCCTCTCTTCTCCTCTCACCTTTTCCCTTCTCCCTTCAACCTTTTCTCCCTTCACCCTTTTTCCCTGCCGTCCCCCTTCTCTTCTGGCGCTGTTCTTTCCTCCAGTCGACTACCTGTCCTTCTACCTACGTCCGTGTCTTGTATCGTCCTCTTCTCTTCTCTTCTCTTTCTCTGTGCTTTCTTTTTCTTTCCTTCTTTGGTCGGTCTCGTTCGACCGGCTCTTTCGTCTCTCTCGTCCTCTCCCTCTCTCGTTCCGGAGGAATTATCGAGCCATCCTTCTCCTTCTACCTGGTCGATTCGTTCTTTATCGCGTCCATCTCGGTACCGGCTTCTCTTCTTCGCCGTCTCGTATTTTCTTCGCTCGTACCGAACTTCGAGAGGAAGAGGAGCATCGGTCGGCGAGTTTCTGCTTTTCGATTCTTCGTCCCCTGGCTATCCTCGATTTCGACGGGAGATCTTCCTCTTTTCCGTTCGGCTCGTTTCGAAGTTGCTCGTTGCAAGATCGGTAACTTCTCCGAGTACGCTGCTATAGAATTTCGCTTCGAAATTCTTGTCCGGTCCGTAGCCGAGATTGTCCGGCAAAGGAAGATCGGCAGGGCAGCGTCGTCGCCAACG